TTTCCCCCTTTTTTTTTTTCTTCTTTTTTTTTTACAGTGTGGTCAGATAGCGGTTTTATTGTGAAGAGCCGGATGTCCTGTTATTGTTGCTTCTGGCAGATCACAGGCAGCACAGACTGTGGATGCCTCAGCATTCCTGCCTCCCTTCCTGACAGACACAGCCGCATGACATAACAACAGACAGAGGAATGGTAAATATAGATTTTGCTGTAGCTGTGTATTTATTACCTTACGATGAACCTGCAGCACTTTATTTTATCCCGGCCTTTGACATTTCTGACTGAATGCTGTCTCCATTTGTTCCCTAATGAATTAGCCTGACATGTCTGCTTTTTTGAAACGTTCACATTCGTTTGCTGTAACCGGTCTAGTTTCAACATTGCTGAATTATATAATGGATGCACCAGTCTCCATCTGCTAATGGACCAACAACAAATACTTTAAAGTGATAAAACATGAAATGCTGCCCGATGTGGTCATACTGAGCCTCTCTTCTTATACACAGCATGTACGTATTAGTATATGCGTGTATAAAAGTTTATGCAGGTGTACAACTGGTTGTGTCAGTGGAGTGCGACAGAGAGATGCTGTTTTGTGTGAAGCCCTATAGTCAGCATGTTACATAACTGAGCAGTTTGAGCCTGTGAGCTGTCCTCCTGCTGCTGATACAGTGAGATCACAGAGAACAGGCTAGATGAGGCCACGGGCCACAGCATTCATTTACACTATGATGTGTTTTCACTTGGATACAACATCCAGCTATGTTGAATGCAAACAACAAAAGAGAGGCAGCCCATTCAAACAGCATGCTGCTCATAGTTACAGCAGTTTGACTCAGCTGACTGCAAACTGGTCCAATACTGTCCTCGTAAAAACTGCTCAAACAAGATGATTTGCTACTTTTCTCTGTTTAATATCCTTATAAATTGAATACTTTTTTCACAATGGGGTGCCTTTAGAATATTATCTTTTCTCATTGCACTTTCTACCCATCTACATTCCTCCACCAAGCTCCTTGCATACCACCAGTAATACATGTACCATAGTTTGAGAACCGGTGCTGTACAGTGAATGGTAAATGGACCTGTCTTCCGACCACTCAAAGCGCTTTTACACTACATGCCACATTTGCCCTTTCACACACATTCACTCAGTGATGGCAAAGCCCATCGAACAGAAACTAACTCATTAATTCACATTCACACACCGATGCATAGCATCAGGAGCAATTTGGGGTTCAGTATCTTGCTCAAGAACAATTCGACATGTGGAGGAAGGAGACAGAAAATTCAACCACCGACCTTCCAATTAGTGGACGACCCGCTCTACCTCTGAGCCACAGCTGGAGGAGTTGCAGTACTTTGTGTTACTGCGGCAGCCGCAGTAATTTGTGTTACTGCTGCAATTGCAGTACTTTGTGTTACTGCGGGAGTTGCAGTACTTTGTGTTACTGCAGGAGTTGCAGTACTTTGTGTTACTGCGGCAGCCGCAGTACTTTGTGTTACTGCAGGAGTTGCAGTACTCTGTGTTACTGCAGGAGATGCAGTACTTTGTGTTACTGCGGGAGTTGCAGTACTTTGTGTACTTATACACATTGCAGACCTGAATGAGAGTCCTGATTTGTTCTTGAGGTTCCTCAGTAAGTCCAGCTGATTGAGTGGTGGGATCAACCTGCAGACACAGACAGGTGTGTAAGAACATTAGAAGACTTTATAGGACAGACTGCTGTCCTGCAGGTGGACAGTCTCACCTGTACATGGGGACAGAGACGGTCCTCTCATAATAATCCCAGGTTGAAGTCAGATCAGTTCGGCTCAGGTTTGTGGCGTAAACTCTCCACGCCGCCTGCACACACAGAAAGCAGACAACTGTTTCCATGGAAACGGCTACAGGAAAAGGACTCCATGGGTTTTCAAACTAAAAGCTCTGCAGATGTTAGTTCAAATTCACCTGTATGAGTCCAGCTGCTGGGTTCCGTCTCTTCTCAAAGTGTTTCTGTCGGTGCTGCTCCTGGACCTTAAGAGCAAAACCAGAACCCAGGATCCCCTGAGACACAGACAGATAGACAGACAGACAGACAGACAGACAGACCAACAGACAGACAGACAGACAGATGTGTGAGCTGGGCTACACCAGGTGGAGGTTCACCTGTGTGAGATAAACTCAGGTAGATGTTAGAGGGACTCACAGCGGGCAAAGCAAAGAAGGAGACTCCAATCAGAGTGAAGGTTGCAGCCAGCAGACGTCCATTCCAGGTGATGGGGAACTTGTCTCCGTAACCAATGGTTGTCAAAGTGATCTGGCAGAGACAGACACAGACCAATCAGATCTATGGGGATGAGACAGTTGCTCTTTTTCTGCTCTACAGGAAATTCACAGCAGGATGTGTGAGAGTTATAGAACCAAACCAATTTCATCACCACAGGGAGGAGCTCTGAGATCGATCAGCAGACACACTCAACTAACTGCTGCTGACAGTTTTATTTATTGGCCTTGTGAACCAGTGCCAGATAATCAGTGTGTAATGTCTCACCAGTCCCCACCAGAGGGCGTCTGCGTACGTCTCAAACTGTTCATTGTCTTCTTTTTCTGCCAAATAAACAAGGAAACTGGCCAGAATGAGACACAGGAAGCCAATGTACCAGGCTGTGATCAGCTCCTGCAGAGAGAGAGACATTACAATACAGAGAGAGAGAGAGAGAGAGAGAGACATTATAATACAATGTGATAAAGTCAGAGAGAGACTATAACAGAGGTTAGACTAAAGGAGGATGGAGAAGTAATCAATGACTGTGATCAATACAGTCCAGGATAAATGAAAGCGATCAGATGTCAAGATCCCTGTCAGCAAGATAATATCAATAAACCAATACTGCTGACACAGTGAGACACATAGAGACAGTGAGACACATAGAGACAGTGAGACACACAGAGACAGTGAGACACATAGAGACAGTGAGACACAGAGAGAGTGAGACACATAGAGACAGTGAGACACATAGAGAGACAGTGAGACACAGAGAGTGAGACACATAGAGACAGTGAGACACACAGAGAGACAGTGAGACACAGAGAGAGACAGTGAGACACAGAGAGAGTGAGACACATAGAGACAGTGAGACACACAGAGAGACAGTGAGACACATAGAGACAGTGAGACACACAGAGAGACAGTGAGACACACAGAGAGAGTGTCAGTAGTAATGTCTGTAGTGTCAGTAGTGTCAGGAGTAGTGTCAGTAGTGTCTGTAGTGTCTGTAGTGTCTGTAGTAGTGTCTGTAGTAGTGTCTGTAGTAGTGTCTGTAGTGTCTGTAGTAGTGTCTGTAGTATCTGTAGTAGTGTCTGTAGTGTCAGTAGTAGTGTCAGTAGTAGTGTCAGTAGTAGTGTCAGTAGTAGTGTCTGTAGTAGTGTCTGTAGTATCAGTAGTAGTGTCTGTAGTAGTGTCTGTAGTGGCAGTAGTAGTGGCAGTAGTAGTGTCTGTAGTGGCAGTAGTATAGTCAGTAGTATTTCCCATCATACCTTGCTGTGGGCGTAGACGACTGATCCCAGCAGTTTCCAGGTTCCTCCACGGCGGTCCATCCGGATCATCCTCAGAATCTGAAGGAACCGAAGAGACCTGATGGCCGATGTGGCGAACACGTTCCCCTGAGTCCCTGCAGCCAGCACTGAGATTGACGCTATCAGCACCATGATGTCTGCAGACAGAGAGAGAGACAGGTCAAACAGACAGACAGACAGGTCAACAACAGCGCTGAACAATTACACTTGCAATGAACCTGGTTAAGTTTGTGTTTTATAATTCTGAACATATTATTTCCAGTGAACATTATATATTATATTTTAGTGTATTATCATACGTACAGCAGCTATTTAAGCTCTGCTGTACCTCCTGAGCTGTAAGTTTGGTTTTAGCCAAACAGAAGTCATTGTTCACATCGAGCTTGTTGCGTGTCTTTGATGGTGACCAGTGCACTGAAAGTAGTCTCTGACAGGTGCGTTGTGGTGAATGGCGAGATAAATCTGGTGGTGGCGTGAAGTGCAGGTTTTGGAGCGACACCAGGTCTTTTCACAAGCCAAACCTGCTGGTATCCAACAAGTATCCTAATGAAACCAGGAAAGCCAGTGCACCTCAGTATGATGGAGGAGTGTCTGGTCCGCCTCGTCCTCGCACAGCTGCACCAAGATCCGTTTGTTTTAGTTTTAATAAACTTCACTATTTTTACCACAGACTTTAAGGCTTCATTCAGTTCCTCACAGAGATGTTTGCCTGCGAGTGCTTGTATGTGTATCATACAGTGAAACATGCAGTGGGGCGCTTTCTCTTTAAACGCTTATTAAACCCCTTATTTCCCATCATCGAGGCAGCATTCCACTCTGTTGTCATTGGGAAGATTTTGCTTTGCAAAGTTTGTGTCAACTACACTGAAAATATCTTCTCCTCTTGTAGTGGTTGTGAGATTGACAGACAAAAGAATGTTTTGTTTCAGCTCAGTTTCTGAATGTACTGTACATACATAGTGAGTATTAGCTCCTCTGCCACAGTCGGACTTTCATCCAACTGAATAGAAAATGGGCCCATCTTGAGTTTTTCTATTTTCTAGTGCATTTTCAACGTTTCCTGCCATTCTGTCGATTCTGTCTTTCACTGTGTTATTGGACAATGGTACAGTGTTAAATTTGTTAGCCACCTTGCGCAATAAGGTTTGTGTACACATTTATACATTTGTCTGCATATTTACAAATGCCAATACAGATTTGTACATTCTTTTACACACTTACAATCTAAATACACACACACGGATTGAGATACAGTGTGGCTACAATCGCTCTTTAGTACAGACTCACCTATGTGTCAGTATGTGACGTGTTGTTAAACTCACCGATGACACAGAAAGGTTTTCTGGCGAACTTGAGTCTTCCTTTCCATCCTCTGTACCGACAGCAGCAACCTGCAGCCCAGATCCTCACCATGTACTCCACCCCGAACACCACGATGGTCACCACCTCCTGTTACACAACAACAACAAAAAGAAAGATATTACATAGCTGTTTTGTTTGTTGTGAGAACTTTCAACATATTAGGCAGATGGAGGTGGATTTAAATGAATAAAGTCAACAACCAATCACAGCGAGCTCTGTCTGCACGGACGTTATATCATTGACCTTCAGAACACACTGTGTTCTACCACTGCCTCCATCTGTGTTTTATCGTATTCATTCATCTTAATGGACCGGGGCAGACAGCTGAGAAGTAGAGTGGGTCATTCACTAATCATCGGCGTGTGAATGGGGCATGTATTGTAAAGCGCTTTGAGTGATCAGAAAGACTAGAAAGGCGATATATAAGTACAGTCCATTTACCATTTAACCTCTCATTAGTGAGCCATTTGGTGCTGCAGTCTGACCCCTGGGACCCCCACAAGCTCCAGTCCCTCTCCGCAGTGAGTGGATTTAATTTTTTATTTTATACTGAGACTCTCAGAGACTGACGATTCTGTCACTGACTATTGGGGGGCACTCCTATAAGAAACTGACGGTTTAAATGGTAAATGGACTGTACTTGTATGTATATGTTGTATGTATATAGCGCCTTTCTAGTCTTTCAACCACTCAATGCGCTGTACACTACATGCCCCATTCACACACATTCATACACTGATGGCAGTGGCTGCCATGCAAGCTGCCAACTGCTCACCAGAACGGAAACTAAGCATTCACACAGACTCACACACTGAGCACAATCAGCACTTTGGGATTCAGTATCTTGCTCAAGGACACTTTGACATGCAGTGAGAGGAGCTGGGGATCGAACCGCCAACTTTCCGATTAGTGGACGCTCTACCTCTGAGCCACAGCCACCCCATGTGTTAAAGTGATAATAAAGTAATATGTTAATTATTATTTGTATTATATAATAACTAGTTGCTGCTGACTGTGAAAATAAAGCTGTCATTCACAGAAAGTTTAAAAATATCATCAAACTGCAGACAGGAGGCTGAGTTTTATTTAAAGATCAGGCAGAAGGTAGACGACGTGTATTTTTACCAGAATGTAAAGAGCGTCTTCTGAACTCTTCTCGTACTCTTTGATGGTGGAGAACACAGACAGAACCAAGCAAGAGAACACCAGCAGGAACCTGAACAGAGAACACACGCTGAACTGAATGCTGACCTCAGATCTGTTTGACACCTGATCTGAGAGCAGTTATTGATCCCTGGCGGCTCCTGTAAACTGAACTGAGAGCAGTTAACATCAATTAATAATCATTACTGTTTCAGAATGAATGTAATTAATGTGATTTATTCATACAGCTCAGGTTGTTTTTACCATGAAATCTATTTCTAATTTTATTATAAAAGCAGCTGTTGTAATTTTAGCATCCAGAAGGTCATTTTCACCTCCTTATTAATAATTACAGAGACCTGTCCCATATAGAGGCCTGTCCCATATAGAGGCCAGTCCCATATAGAGGCCAGTCCATAGAGACCTTTCACATATAGAGGCCAGTCCCATATAGAGACCTTTCCCATATAGAGGCCTGTCCCATATAGAGACCAGTCCCATATAGAGACCAGTCCCATAAAGAGACCTGTCCCATAAAGAGACCTATCCCATAAAGAGACCTGTCCCATAAAGAGACCAGTCCCACCTGTAACACCAGCATACATGCTGCATTCATGGATTCAGACAGACGGACAGCAGCTTCCTCACAGAGATAACAGTTGATCATTGACTTAAAAGACTGACGTAAAGTCAGGACGGCAAATATCATAAAACGTATCATAAAACGTATCATAAAACGTATAGTAAGAATAAATATATTAAATAAAATATATGTGTATATAATTTGATGTAATTTATTAATTATTAGTGTCTCGTTGTCCAGATGGTCCACATTGTCTCGTTATATGAAGGAGTTATGTAACTTGTGTAAATTCCATCACAGTTTAAATATTTTAACTCTGAAATGTCGTCTACCGTTATCGCTTTTCTCTGCTGGCCTCGCCTAAGTTCACCGTTCAGCTCTCGTCCACTAACATCACATCCAGTTTGCCTGAATTCCTGTGACTGCAGCATCAGCCTTACAAGAACCCATCAGACGACAGAAACAGTGTATGTCAGGTGTAACGGACAGGTATTTACACGTAGGCGTGATAGATGAAGGCCCATCCTCGAGGTCTCTCCAGAACGTTGTACAGGAAGTTCTGCAGTCGCCTATAGAGGGCGTTACGTTTCGGAGGTTTCTTTCCTCCAGAGACACTGCTGCGCTGCCGCCGTGGACCCTCCTCCCCACCTGGACACAGGTAGTACTACAAAATGATTCTTGGCCTTCATAAACATCAAGAAACAATTTTAGGTCAAATGTAATTAAATATATCAAATCAAGTTATATAGAATACAGAATAAACTGAATGCAAACAAATAAACTAGATCCCATAAGGAGCTTTATATTGGCACTTTAATAATACATAAATATTTTTTGAGTGTTGGAAGTAAAGTTGGATGAAGTTGGATGCTCAGTGTAATGAAAAGACTTTAATTCCTCCTTTTTGTCTAAAACCTTGTTCACATATTTTGAATTGTTCACAGATCGGATTTCTCTTCAGTTTCTGACAACTGGATGTTGACCTTCAGTGTCTGTGTGAAATTATTTGTCTGCTATTTTTCTTTATGTTGTTCTTATTGTCCATAAATTCAAACTGTTGTTCCTCAGGGATCCACTCTAGAGCCTGTTTGTTTCTAAGGTAAATAAATACACAGTTGTTTTTATCCTCACTGTCTGAATATTTAATATTGCTGAACAATTAATCACAATATAGCCAAGAGCAATATGCAAACTGCAGAAACTGTCATTTGTTAAAGGCAAATGTGACAAACATCATTGTAATGAATTATAGTGATGTTCTGCAGACACTCCATCCTATAAAATCTGGTTCTCTAGATGTTTGTTTGGTACAGACCCCAAAACTATTTCACATCATCATGACTTTAATAGTTCTTTAACTGGATTACTGGTATAAAACAAAGAAAAACAGAATATATGCAGCTGGAATTACAGAAACAATTAATAAACAATAAATAATTCAAATAAACTATTAACAGATTCATATTTTGACAATTCATTTATGGATAAACTGTTTCAGCTTTATTGATGTTATTTGATATTTTTGATATTTTCACTGCGTTTCACTCAATATGTGTCTTTCTCAGATTTATTGTTATTATTAATATTATTATTAATAATATTGTATCTGCTTCCCAAAGTGCAGATTTGTTCCAAAGTGTTTACAAATTAAATGTAGAAAAAAATAGAATCTTAGTTGATTAAAGAAGCATTGATTTAACAACATATTGATTATTAAATCCAATTCTTATTCACTAAATTCCTATTAAATATTAATTAAATATGAACACACATTAACAGCAACAGTGTTGTTGTTGTTGTTGTTGTTGTTGTTTACCTGCTATAAGCAGAGCTCCGTCCCTGCTGGACTCAGTACCCCCGGCCTCCAGACCCACGAAGCCGACCTTCAGTTTCTTCTGGTCGGCCTGCGCTCCGGGGAACACCCCGCCGTTCCGGGACTTCTGCACCATGACCGACGAGCCGATCTACTGCCAGCCCGAACTCAGAGCGCCGACACCGGCCAGGCCCGGTGGGAGCATCGCTGCTGCAGAGCGGAGGAACAACAGGAGGAGGAGGAACGATGGAGAGAACAGGAGGAGGAGGTGAAAAGAGGGGGAGATAGGTGGATGGAGGAGAGAGGGATGGAGGATAATAAAACCCGCAGAGAGACTGACGGATAGCAGATTGGCTGATCAGCAGTTTTTTTTTCTCTCACCGACTTCCGCACAAAGAGGAAGCGGAATGACGTCACCGACGGTAATTGATCAAATTGACGATAAAATAATCCACCGATCAGATGAGATGAGCAAACTGATCAATCTGATCAGAGAAAAGAAACACAGCATAAAGACCGTCTTTGTGTGTACCCATGGTAACTGGATAATGTGGTAACCATGACAACCAGTGGAGAGACAGGAGGAGGAGGAGGTTACAGGAGGAGGAGGTTACAGGAGGAACTCAAACAGTTTGTAAAATAATAATAATAAAATAATATAAGAATCCTTTATTTATTGATATAATTTGTAACAATCATACAGACTTAATAGGCTTCTTTTTTATTTGTTCACATCTTCAATAATAATATACACTATAAAGAACTATTTCAGTTTTATTCACAGAAATCAGTGAAATACTGAGATATAGGCCTATTGTGTGTATCGATCAGCAGTCACACTGTGAGCACTGGACTCCCT